TATATTATTAAAATAAATATTAAAATAAACGTACGCGTTGTTTAAAATCGGGAAATTCTTCTAAAAGCGTCCACATAGCTCCTTCTTCCTTCATTCTCTTATTTCTCGTTGCTTGCACATTTCTTATAAAACCAAAACTCCATTTTGAATGTTTAATTAATAGCATTCCTGCATTAAATTCATTTCCTCCTTTAGGTTCTGCCACTACAACATTTACTGTTCTATCAAATTCTTCTTTTCCTCTTTTATATTTTTCTTCTTCGTCAACCTTAGCATCTCCAACTATTCTATTTCCAACAATTAAATAAAATTTTTTAATTAATTCTGAAACTGAAACATTATGTTTCGTAATAACTGAATTAGTATCAATCCAAAGAATCCAATCATAATATGGCAATGTCATTTTTATTGCATCAAAATTTCCCCATGTTACCATTTCACGTCTGTATGTTGGTAGCGGAATGAATGGATATTCATGTTTTTTGGCATATATTCGTTTGTTTTCCACTGATTCAAAGGCTATGTCTATTATTGATTTTTTACAATCAATAAATCGGTCCATAAATGATGAACTTGTTACCACGGCTATTTTAGGTTCTCCTTCTGATGGTGTTGTATAATGACAAGCTGGTACATATGAAATTGAAAGACGTTCGGTAACTTGAATGAAATCATCTGCCATTTGTAAATTTCCAACTCCTATGGTAGTACCTTGAGGAATATCATTTACTTTTCCCGTCCATAAAATAAATCCTTCATTATCATTTATAAAAAATAATGCTTCTAATTTATTTGAATTTTCTTTGTTATAAAAGTATGCTTGAGTTATTAAATTTGAATATTTGGAATTTTTTATAACTTTTTTATTTTCTAGGATTGTTTTAATTGCTTCCGCTCCAATAATTACCATATTATCTGCAATTGGTGTCTCAAAATTACCCCAGATAATGTTTGGTAACTTGGTAGAAATTTCCTTGTCTTTCTCTTTTTTGTAGGATAAATTAGATTCAATCATTTCAAGGCTTACAACAGAGCTACCATCCATAAGTACTAAATGATCAAATGTTATGTTATAGTCTTTTTGGGTGTTAACCTGCGCATATAGTGATAATGATATTTTAAAAAATATATTTATATATAAAGAAAAGTTTTATATTATGTGCTTATATAAAAGGACAGAGATGTCTGACTGTATTTAAGAATAATATTCGAAATATACTTACCCAATCAAGAACAGTCTCTTGAGTATAATTTGTACCAAGTAAATGTTGAAATTCTAC